TGTGGAAACAGTGAATCTAGACTTAAAGTTGGCTGCATATGCACATTCCAATAATCTGGAAGAATTCTCCCAGGTTTGTTCTCCTGATAGAGAAACTTACCCAGAAACTTCTCTCAGAAAAGAACATAGTCCTCATTACAGTTCCCTCCCTGGACTGCCTGGGGGATAGTGTGTTGCTTGCTAGATTCCGCTGCTCCAGCAGAACACATTCCCTTCACAATCTCATATTGTGATTCAGGAAAACACAGGCTGACCATGGGCAGTCTGGATCAACTAATCATGGCTGCCCTATGCACTGCTGCCATCTGTTGCCAACAGACTAAAGGAGCCTGCAAAGTACACTGAGATGTGTGCACAGGGCACCTGCCTGGCTGCACAGTGTCAGCACCTCAAGCTCTTTGGGGCCTTGGCATTCAAATGTCTGTACACACAGACCATAGCATCCCAAGATAAACCATCCCAGGAGGACCATCCCAGGAGAAATTCTCTTGTGATTTAATCTTGGCTGTTCCCAGGTTATTTTTCTCTTGGAGTGGCTGTTTTAATTTTGGGGAAAAGAAGCCTGAACATCTGAAAAAGCCCAAGAGTTGCTGCTTTCCCAGGAGAAACTGAGTGTCTGTACAAGGCCCTTAGTGAAATCTCTCCCAAATATGCAGTTAGTTCAATAAGATAACATCCACAAAAATCCTTGCTTCTTGCATGCAGTAGTTTTAAGTGTTTTCTAATTCAATAGAGGCTGAATAGCATTTTGTGCTATAAAGAACAACCATTTCTACATCTAAAGCCTAACTCTCTCTCCAAATATAAATGATTTTCTGCAAATGATAGAGGTATCAGACCTTCTCAAAATATAAGTCACAAGAATCCTTAAATAGAAATCTTTAAATGTCTTCACTACCAGCTACCCTGTACATAGGATGCAAATTCTATGGTTAATTAGGGTCTGACTACCATTTTTTTGCACAGAGATGGGATGACAAAAGCCTGCTCAGCCAAATCCAAATCCAAATTGCATATGGCCTGCTTTGTATGCCCCTAATAATTACATACATACATATATATATGTGTGTGTATGTGTGTGTGTGTGTGTGTCTATATATATATAGACATGAGACTCTGGGCATGTTTCAAGAGACCCTACTCCTCTGCTTTTCAGTGTTTACACATTGATCTATCTCTCTCTCTTTCTAGTTGTGATGACTCTAGGTGTTGTAGGGCTTGCTGCCACTGCCTTGAGCTCGTTTTCCTACAGGTGGTGACAGGGTGGACCTTGGCTTTGGATCACCTGGTCTGTCAGGAAGTTGATCTTATGTTTTCTTGCGCTGCTATGCAGCGGGGCTTTAACCTGGAACAGCAATTTTTCTGGCCTCTTCCCCTGGATCCTCTGCTGCCACTGTGCTCCAGGGATTATCAGAAACCTTGTGTGTGCAGGTCTCCACCTGCCTCCTTCTCAGGGTCACACCCACAGTGTTCCTCCAGGAAGTTTCGCAATACTTGCCTGCTGGGACATTCAGCCGCTCCTCTCTCTGTGGCTTGCAGGGAATTGACTCCTCTCTTCCCCTCTCTAGGGCTAGAAATACCTCAGAGCAGCCTCCCCACTCCAGTCTGGAGTGAGATGCTGCTCCGGAAGTGTGGCAATTGCTTCTCTTCCCTTCTGGTCTCCAGCTGCAGCCCCGCTGGCTCTCCATGCTATAAGTGTTGCTTGTTTTCACTTTCCCTGTCTGTTGCTGCCGGCTGCTTTTTTCTTCCTGACCTTCCCTGCCCAGCATGTAAGGCACCTTGCGGCTTTTGTTTGCTGTCTCCCACTCCTTCACAATAGTCTAATATTATAAAAGCCCAAGTCTGTCTGTAATGCTTTATTTGCACTAGGACTGGCTGCCTGGGCCCAATGCAGGGGGCAGGGGAGTGGGCCTGGGCCCAACGAGTGGAGGGGAGCAGGCCCGGGTCCAACGTGGGCGGGGGGGAGGGGAGCGGGTCCAGGCCCAACACGGAGGGAGTGGGCCTGAGTGGGGGAAAAGATGACCCACCACGATGGGGCGGGACAACAGGCCCAGCCCAACGTGGCTGCGGCAGCATTAGCGGCTGGGGGAGGGAAGGAGCAGGCCTCCTCCCCACCTCAGGCCTGGGCCCACTTGTCCCCAACCCCCATCCCCCGTGTTGGCCCTGAGCCCACTCCTCCTATCCCTGAGTGGGCCTGATGTGGTGGGGAAGAGCAGGCATGCTGTGGCATTGGTAGTGACAGTGGGGCCAGGGGAGGACTGGGCCCGGGACCGACATGGAGTGAGGGAATGAGCCTTAGCTGAGGGAAAAGCCGGCCTGCCATGGCAGTGTGGGGATGGGACAGTGGGCCTGACCCGGGCCAACATGGCAGCTATGGGGGAAAGGGAGGAGTGAGCCTCTTCCCCCCATCAGGCCTGGGCCCACTCCTCCCCCATGCCCCACTGCCGCTGTGGCCCAGCTTCTTCCTGCTCTTGGGACCGGTCCTCCCCGACATTGGGCCTGGGCCCAGGCCCAGTCCTCCCAGCCCCCTACCACTGCGATGGGAA